GTTAGGGGGTGGGGGGTGGGGGGAGAGCGTTAATGCGGGTGATGGGTTTCAGTGAAAGAAGTGAAAACAAGAAAAGTGCAAACAGGCAGCGGCTAGACAGCTTATATCAATTTAGAGGAGAAAGGGAGGCAGGCAAATAATAATTAAATACACTCACATTTGATAATCACTGAGAGGCTAAGACTAACTCAATTAATTAAAGGGCAGGCGAGAGGAAAGACGGATTATCGCTTCGAGGAAAAGGATCACCTCGTAGGGAAAATGAGAAAGAAAGAGAGAGAAAGGTAGAGAGGGAGAGAAAGAGAGAGAGAGAGAGTGAGTGAAAGATATATATATATATATATAAATGTATAGGGAGAGAGAAAGAGAGAGCACCTGTTTTACGGGTCCATTCTCTCTCGAAGCGCGATCTCGACAACTATTTCACGCGAGGATGTTTTTTTTTTGGGACGTTGCAATTGTTTCTTTCTCTTTTCCGTATGTGTTTTTTCTTCTCTCTCCCTCTTGGAATTCGCGTGCGAACCGATTGTGAGTCGGATATCGGTGTTGCTGTCAATCGCTTCACCGAAATGGGACCCGCCGCAGGCGGAGATGGCTCTCGGTCGGTGCGTACGCTTTTTCAGAGTCTCGCGATCTTATATGTATCAATCTGTACAATAATACAACGGTTTTATCTCCTAGTCGATGTTTGCGTGAGAAGCGCAAAAAGGGGTGTGAGAACTGGAGATTATTATTGTCCGTCGGTCTTTCGGCGCGATTCGTCGTTCTCACATTTTTCTTTTTTTTTTTTTTTTTATTTCTCGCAATTCTCCTTTCCCGCGTTTCTTACATTTTCCTTTTTTTTCTTATTTTATAATCTGCATATACCAAAGGATGAATTTTTATATACACACATACATACACACACATATATAAACACACACACACATATATATACATATATAGTAGATTACGTCATTATGAAACTAATATTCTCAGCCGAGCTCATATTCGGTTCGACTTTTACGGTTCATGTTGATTCATCTATTTGTACAAAGCTTTAGTCGATCTTTTCTTCTTACACTGTAGACTTTCGATATTCTTAGGAATCGAGAGAGAATGAAAGAGAGAAAGAGAGAGAAAGAGAGAGAGAAAGAGAGAATCATCGCGACTTTCAATTTCACTTTTTCCGTTACATCGCCGCGACCATTCTTTCATCTCTCGCGACACAAAGTCGGCGAGCATCCTCTAATCTTCGCAAACGTTATCACATCCTTTTCTGGCGATCCAGGCAGTTACAGAGAGCAGCGTATCGCGACGCGCGGTCCCAGCACGTGGGCAGATCGGTCGATCTTCTCGTATACGCTCCGGGATCCCTCGGCGACGTCTCTGAAGGCTCGTGATCAGATTAAATCGCTGTTAATGACGAGATAGAGGGAGGGGAGGGGGGCGCGTTGATGAAGATCCAGCGACTGATCTTGAGGCTCTCGTTGTTCAAATTTTTAACGGTGTTTAACGGAGGGGGGAGAAATTCGCTCACGTTGGTTGCCTTCGATTATTGTTGAACTTTTTAGAGTTAAGGTTGTTAAAAAGCGTTTCCACGTTGCCAATCGTAGAGTGGGCGGGCGGGAGGGGGAGGGGACAAAGGACTTTGAGGAGGTAGAGTTTTTGCGGGTCTCGAGGGTACAAAACAAAAAAGAAGTGGGAGAATATATAACGTACAAGTCCCCGTATATTCGTACAAAATTAGTGTTCAAATTGTAAAAAGTGTTCATAGTAAAAAAAAAAAAGAGACGTCGCATCGCGAGGGATCGATCTTTTCGCGCAAGGTCGGTCATGATCCGCGGACACGTGCTGCGTGTATCGTTATAGTCGGCCGTGCGAACTTCAAATTTTTTTATTCTCTGCGATCCTCGGCATTTATGTGGGTTCTCTAAAACAAAAAGGAAAGAAAAAAAATACGAAGAGCGAGAGAGAGAGAGAGAGAGAGAGAGCAAAAATTATATTTATCCGAACTTGCATAAGTTCCGAGGATCCGAGAACACGATGATCAGAATTGTGTCCTAATGTGTCGGAGATTCTTTTGTTAATATTTGTTAAATTGTACATGTATATATATATATTTATATTTATATATTTATATATTATACATATGGCGCGAAAAGTTCTATATAACATATCGTTGTGCCTCTAAATTTTATCATCGGATTTCTTTATATTTCCAAATTTTATCGTGTGCACGTGCGTTGGTAATTTATTATATTTGTAAAATTCTATGACGACGTGTGTTAACGCCATCTCATCGCGTGTTTGTATGCGCGCGCGGAACGCAGAAGTCGGACTCGCACCTTTGCGTATCTGCAACTGCCTTTTACCCGCAAATCTCGAGGAGAGCGCAAGAACACCTACGATTTGCGCTCTCCTACGACCGTAACTTTCTCACGCTTTCATCGCGGGTGCGACGGTCTCGTCAGTTGGTTTCGAACACGTCGGCTCGACGTGTCTAATAGATGGATTTTCGAGATTACATGCATATATAGGGGGGAAACTGCAGAGAAAGAGAGAGAGAGAGAGAGAAAGAGAGAGGGAGAGG